AATACGTTTGTGGTAAAATTCAATTTACTGAAATTTTTAATTCTAATAAAATTCCTTACTAGCATTTTGTCCCTGTCCAGAAAGCAAGGCGTAGAGCACTCTTAGACTCTCTCTCCCGTTGGATTGGGCAGGTTCGCATGCTTCGACGCTAAGTTCCTGTCTAACAAACTCATTTACAACCTCCTTCCATAAATCCTTGTTAACACAACTTGCAATTATTAATGCATGCGACCAAAGATTATTTCGCATCGCCAGCCGAACAGCTGAAACCCGATCACCTTTTAACAATATTTCTTGTAATTTATCGATAGTACTTGGATTTACAGAGTATGTAGTAGAAGATGTAGATAGTGAACGGGTAGGTTCTGCCATCTCTCGGGAATTATATCCCGAATCGGCAGGAATCGTAAACTCAGCGGTCGATTCATCCGTATTATTGCTACTTGAGAATGACGGTATCAGTACATTACGTACCGCTTCTTCAACCTTGGTACTTTTTAAGAAGCGCCAAAAGTTAGAGAAAATTATTCGTAATATTATTTAATATATATAAGTTATTCTACTATAATTTTAAAAGAATTCAGTTGATGCTCACTTTCCAATAATATGTCCGTCATTTTCAATCATTATTTTAAGTAATTTCCATATAGTAGCAGAATCTTCAGCAGTTACTTTCTCGATATCGGAAACCTCGTGCGATAACGGTTGGTCTTTCACTTCGTTCAAACGAAGATCTATATACTTTAAGATTTCTTTCCGTTTGGATTTTACACCACCTTTATTATTATCCATTAACAAGGGACCAGGGAAATTTTCAACCTTGGACATTGGAATGATATCTTTAAGTGTCCGCATAATGAATGCACCCGGCGCAGATTTAGTAATTGGAATGCTTTGATCCGTGCTCGTAAAGCGTTGGACTGTACGAGGAAACATGGTAAAAATATGTCCACCAAAACCAAAAGCTATCACAGGACAACCTCTAGATCTTTGGAGAGGGTCACTTGTGTCATAACTATAAGATTGATTGTACTCATAGTAATTATGTTGAGAATCATAACCTCCATTTATATTGTTCCTTTGGTTAATTTCTGCAGAATATCCAACGTGAGGTTGCGTATACGGATTTGGTGATGTGGTGGCATTTTGTGTATTTGTGTAATAGTCATGCAACTTTTCTTGAGAAAATGGGATTTCAGAGAAATTATTCTCCATGGACCGTCCACATTCACAGCAAAATTTAGCAGTCGGTTTATTTTCACCATGACAATTAGGATCTGGACAAATGCTCACATTATTAGCGATAGCAGGTGAATTTGATACTTGGTAGAGGGTAGGTAATGTTTGTGTTTCTAATGACAGTTCAGATAGATGGGATGTTGTTTCCTGTATCTGTTTAGGGCTAACACTTTGATTATTCACCCATGAATAATTAGAAATTTGACCATCATGTCCATTTGTATTTTCCTGTTGCTGTTGGTATTGAGTCCCATAAGCATCATAATTTAGATATTCTCCTCCATACACTTGCTCCCAATTTTGACCGTCATAATAACTATAGTCTGAATAATAAGGATTATTAGTAACGGGGGTATTTTGAAATAAATCTTGATCATCACCATCAAGACCAACTCCTTTATTAGTTTCACCAAAATATAATTCATCCTTTTCTTGCGAGTCAGCGTCCACTTTATTTATTGGGTCATTGTTTTTGTTGTTAATATTGACACCTAAAGCATTGTTAACATTGTCATCTAAAGTATTTTTGTCAACAGCTATTAATGAATTATCGTCAGTTTTTTCCGTGGTTTCTGTAAGAGAAACATTGGAGGTAGCCGTGACTGTATCATTGGAATTATCTCCATGGGATAAATTTGAAACGTCTTCATGTTCTTCTTTTCTAGAATCGTTAGATACAACTTCCTCTTCTTTGATTATTGATGTAATTTCTGAAGAGTTTTCCTGAGATATTGTTGTTGCAAGATCACCATCCACTAAATTTTCTAAAGATGTCTCCTCTTTTTGAGTCGAGATGTTCTCTATGGATTGCGATACTTCATCATTTTTAGCATTTACAGCTTCCTTAACTTGAGTTGTTGTCAGACTCGATGCAGCTTCAGTCATTCCGGAAGCTTGTTCTTGATAGGAAGGATCATTTGTGGACTGAGTGAGATCGGAATTTTGATTTACATCCTCAGATTTATGTTGTTCAATAATGTCATCTGAATTGAGAATTTGCAAATTCGGATTCACATTTATATCAGTTATTGTACCAACTGATTCTTCGGATTTTGTCAAATTAAATTCCAATGATTTACAATTTACATTCGCATTCTTATCGTCTTCAGCAGATTTCTCATTAGCAGAATTTTTCAGCTGTAAATCCTCTGTGCTCAATTTTTTTTGTATGGTCTCTGTTTTATCCCCTAATGCATCAAAAACAGATTCAAGATCAGCCTCATGGTTTACTGATTTATCCAAACTTTCATTCCCTAGTGCATCAAAGATCGATTCAGGATCTGCCTCATGATTTGCTGTTTTATTCAAATTTTCATCATTCGTTATTATGGATTGCTGTTGTTGCTGTTGCTGTTCCTCTGCAGCTACAGTAGGATACTCCGCGGGTACTTTCTGATAATATTGAGGATCTTGATAGATTTGATCAGATGATTCGGGCAGATAATTATAATAGGCGGAAGTATCATGTTGATATAACGTAGAATCATGAGCTGTCTGGTTGTAATAATTAGAATATTGTGAAGCATCATAGCCTAAATAATTATTATTATTGTTGTTAACATTATTTTGTTGAGCGTTCTGATCCGCGGGGGTATTGGGATCCTTCTCGGTTAATTCAATTGAATTGTTATATAGAGAATCAAAAAACGCGGCGGGATCGTTAGGGTCGGCATGTTCTATCGACTCATTTGGTGCAGACACGTGATGAGTCTCTAGATTTTGCTGTTTTTGTTGTTGATGCTCGGTGGCGGCGGCGGCGGCGGCGGCGGTGGTGGTGGTGGTGGTTGTAGTGGTGGTGGTGGTGGTGGTGGTGGTGTCAGCAGCAGCTTGATATATCGGTTGTTGTTGCTCATTCGACGTAGCTGCATTTTGAGCATACGAATAATAAGCATTACTAGGATCATTGGAGTAGAGTGAGGAATTATACGGTTGACTAGGATCATAGGTCTGACCATAGTAGTAGCCATACGAAGAATCGTAAGTGGCTTGTCCGTACTGATGTTGATTTGGATCGTATTGCTGCTGATTTGTATCGTAATATTGTTGCTGTTGCGAATAATCATAATACTGAGAATAATCCTGACCATTATAGTAAGACGCATCGTAGCTGTAACCTACTGCACTGTTGTCATATATCTGGTCTTTGGTAACCGTTGGCAAAGTTGCAGTAGTATTATTAGCAGTGGTGGTTCCATTAAGTACATTAATAGCATCCTGTTGTTGCTCGGCATAGTAAGCATTACTATTGTTTACATTATTCTTATTATATTCAGTCGTCGTTGTCGTTGTTTCCCTTACATACTGAGCCATTGTAGAGGTTTTAATTTTCGTTTTACTATTATTATACATATGCTGCTTCTAATGCTTTAATAAAAAAAAGCACAAGTCCAAAAATCTAGTGAGGTCTATATGGACAAAGTAAGAAACATAAACCCATTTTAATTGTAAGTAAACTTTCTTTAAAAACTGGTGACCAAATTTGTATGATATCACCGAGGTGCATAACCAAATCTTTTGTGGCTGCAACACCTGTCAAAATCTATGTGGATAATAAATAAATCGCATATTTAATGATGAATCATCCGATTACTATGCTAATCGATAAATTTTTTTTTTCTCTTAGAATTCAGAACGAAAAGTTTACAACTCAAAACTGTAAGGGGCAACTCCATTGGATCTTCTTTTTTTTTGTACGGGAAATTAAAAATTTTATTGCTCGTTAGGATTGTTTGCTATCATTTGAGGAATGAATGCAAAAAAGAAAACTTATCGACTTGATTAGATTACGAGAAAAAAAAATTTATCGACTTGATTAGACTACGACAAAAAAATTTATCGAACTTGATTAGATTTATGAAAAATTTGATAAGACTGATTGGTAAAAAAACTTACCGACTTGATTATAATTATGATATGAATAAGATTTAAACGCGACACGGTTATTATAAGACGACAAGTAAGTACACAATATACATAATTATATTATAATTTTAATAATTTTTGCAATTGGTGGCCAATCTTTATTTTCAAATTAATGCCTGGATGATCTCTTAACTACCCTTTATTAATATATAGCAAATTTCCGATATTTTATTAAAATCTTGGAAGTCTTTGTTGTATATTGGCAAACAAATTTTGTTTAATGTTTCTGTTAAACGATCCATAATTAAATAAATGCAACCTATCTGAGAGTTAACGATAAAAATAATTAGTATTCTCCTACTAATGATTTATATTTTATTAGATGATACTTGATAAGCTTGTCTAACAATCTTGTTAAACGATCATTAAATAAATTAAGACAACCTTTCCAAGAAAACCTTCAACTTGATATTCTGGTCAGTCACAAATTTGATTTAGTTTTAGTTTTCTTCTTTCTCAATAGATTCATAGTATTAATATAATTATCTTTTCAATTATAGGATCTATTATGACGCAAACTATTCAGCTTTTTTTTTAAGTGTGATTGATTTAATATCTAATTCTGATCTTAACTGTGATAGAAATAGGGCAGTGCCACGAATTAGGTGATTTGATAAGACAAGAAGGGGATAAGAAAGAATCACCTAATTTGTGGCATTCTCCTTACAATAAGTAATTATGCATATCGATATACTTTTTATAAACTGACAAAAGTCATTAATCAAATAAAAATAGTTAAGCTGCACATACGTATGACGAAATGTTGATCATGTGATAATGCTATATCTGCAACGTTTTGACAATTGTTAACTCGTTAACGTTATAACCCTAAAACGCTCATGGAACAACAGTCAATTCGCTATACGTACGATTCAGAATCAGGGGAAGAAGAAGACACCGAGATGTCAGGCGGTTCACCTACCCCCATGTTACTCTTATCCCTAGAAAAAATGAAAAAAATTGCTGACAGCAATGCTCTCAATAAAAAATTGCTTTCTGGACGCGTTCTACTGGTTGGAATTGAAGAAGGTGGAAGTTTGTTTCTTTCTTCGATAAAGAACAAAAAAATAATTGGAACATTACTTCTACCAGGAAGTGATTCGGTAAAGTTTAGCGAGAATTGACAACCTTATCAAAATTCATTTATCTTTATATTAATATAATCTGCATCGCGATAAACAGATTCCACCAGATCCAAATAATTCAGAAATTATTAGCTTAATATACGAGTTAGAAGCAGCTCCTGACGTCCTTATCGTGTTTTGTAAACATCAAATACCGACCGAAAGATGTGCGGGGTGGACAAAGACATTATTTGAGCATGTGGATGTTCAAAGGTACGTTTTAGCACTTAGAAGACATAATACAATTGATTCGCTCTTTATGGACCAGAAGAGGTAAAGCTTTTATTTTTTTGAAGCTTTTTGTTTGGTATATAATAAATCTTTTTAATTCAACACGTCGTTTTTTTTCTACTAGATTACTGGGCAAATATTCATCATTCTTTTACTGACAAATATTAATCTCTCATTATTCGGGGAATAAAGCGTAGTCGTGTTTGACACTTTTGCAGCATCTTCATATATAAACCTCGATTCGGAAGACCATCCGTATCCACCATTAGTTCGAATATTACAAACGAGCAAGGCGGCCTCAGTAAGAAAGATTAATTATTTGTTCTTAATCACTAAATAATGAATATTATCTATTCGGATTAGATTCAAGATATACCATTATACGAGCCTCCTAATCTTACTCGTGATCTGGGTGCAGCCATATTGAGTCATGTAACTATAAACAATGGCAATTATCTTCATATAACGTGATATAACCAATGAAGATTTATTTTTTTTCTCTTGCATTTCAAGTGCGAAATTCATAAAATTCCCGCCTATCTTTTACTCAGTCTTCTGGACACCCAACACGGAAGATTCATGGCGACCTCAAGCACACTACAAGCTTTCCAAACAGCGTGGGAAAAACTTGTTGCATCTCATGGCGTGGAGCAAGGTATCGATTTCGTAGCTGATATTCAGTCGATATTCAAAACGAATGAACGAAAGAATAGAGATATCTTGAGTGAATCTCAATCACAGTTATATTTATGATGATGATTGGAAAGTATTTGTAATATTTGTAAATTTTACATACATGATGTGAATTAATCATAAGAAATTACTATTATTAATAAAAAAATTGTTTCTTATGTCTGTAATTAGTAAAATGTCTTTGTAAGATTAAAAACAATATATATATATATATAAATAATAATACTCGTTTATACAACTAAAAAGCTCATATGAAAAAAGTGGTGATGATAATAATATACATTAAGGAAAATAGAATAAAAACTTAATAATTCCTACGCTCACTTGACTTTAATAATGTGACATGATGACATAAAATCATCTTGCTGTCCCTTCAGTTGTCAAAAATGCGGCACCTAGAAAAGAAGATTTCGAATTAATTAAAACCTTCAATTAAGCAAACAAACATTATAACAATAACACATACCTCCGCCGTACCCGTAACCCTGGTTTGTATTTGATTCAAAATTTAATAGAGATATTAAATAATGAAGAATAAATCAGACGAATAAAAACATTTTCGTAGATAAAACTGACCTTTGGACCAAACTCTTTAGAATAACAAAGACGACAATAAATTTTGCCATCACGATCTGTCATATTAGTAGAGTCCAAAAGTTTACTGCATTGTACACATCGTAAACATAATTTGTGATATTTGACACCCGCACCCAACACCTGTTGAAAATCATTCGAGCATTAAAATACGTAAGAGGGAGAGAAAATGAAATGCTTGATGAGACATCAAAGTTTTTTGAAAATACCGCTTCAGCCGCGTACACTGCCTTAGAGCAACGTGGACATATATCATTGTTTACTGGAAGACTCCATCGTCGACTTCCACTTCTTTTCGCTTGTGATTGACTGAAAAAACCATAAGAGGGTGTGATCGAACGTGTAGGAGACATGGGTGGTGATTGACTAAGTTTTTCCGATGTGGGCGACTTTAGTTCATCTTTCTTATTGTCAACTGGTCTTTCCGTGTTTAAAAACGACGTGCCACCAGCAAACCCATATCCTATATAATTATTTATGTAGCGTCAATAGAAATAGAACACAATCTTTGCATCAATATTCATCTAATTGAACTATTTCGAATTTTATTATTAGATACCTTTAGGACCAAAACGACGTCCGTGACAGGTTTTACAATATGCCTAATGGAGAATAGTTAATTATCAAATATCCTATAAGAAATAGCTCTTCTTTTACCGAGATTATCACTTTACCTCTCCTTCATGCTCGGCTAAAGCATAGGAGTCTAATCGCTTTTTACAATCCTACAAAGAAGAATTAGGCTTAGACTGTCATACACCTCTATTTTACTCATAATTTAAAAGTTGAAAGCTTACAATGCACGTGAGACAAGCTCTATGCCAGGGACCATTTGGACCAATAACCTAATCAAAAAAAATAGTTAGGAATGAGCTTGCTTAGTAACAAGTACGAAGGAGAAAATGGCAGAATTACCTGTTCGGCCATGTAGACCGGTGTTTCGCAACGCGGACATTTCGGTGTACCTCCCCAACGGGTGCTCATTCTCAAAAGTATGTAAAGAGGTAATTAAAAAAAATTCAAAAGAGAGATACAATAAAATGGTTCAATGTGAAAGTTAAAAGAAGTGACTAAGCAAAGGAGTATGTTGTGTGCTATGACAAAAATTATGTCTATAAAACAAAAAATGGTGACACAAAACTGCGTCCGTACATATATAAATATAGAGATAGATAGATAGATAGATAGATATATATACGATTGATTCAACAGAACTTAATATTCTTGAAGCTTTTTGAATCTAAATCTGAATCTAAAGTGAAATTGACTTTATTCTTAGAAATAATTTGATGGCGACAGAGAGCGCAGTAGATCCGGTTGGGATAACTCAATCTGGAGTCGAAGTTCAACCTACTCAACCTCAGGGTCTTGAACCTGGACCAACTTTTTCGACCATTATGAGGTTGGCCTCTTTTTGGATTTGAAACTTTCTCCGTACCCGTAATTCAGATATATTATACTCAAAGTTTTCATTAACTCTAAAGTCTTTTAATTCTAGTCCAAAAGACAACTTTGCTCAAATGCATGCAGGACACGAATCACAACACAGTACCATGGCGTTGATTTTACTATTTGCACTTTTTGGCTTCCAATTTGTAATTTTGTTCTGGAAACAAAAACACTATCGATCTTTTCAAGTTATTACATTAGTTGGCCTATGGTCAGTATGAATTAATTGAATATAATCATTTATATTTATATTTATTGATGTTTTTATTTTCTCTATTTTAATAGGCTAATACCAATTTCTTTCTGCATTCGTGCTCAATTCTGGCGATTTGTTTCGATTTGGGTGTTATATTCACTTGCAAATTTTCGAGGTAAAGAATTATTTCTCATTCATTCATAACTTGCCTGGTTCATGAGAAATATAATATCTACTGACGCTTCCTTTTATGGCATATTTAGTAATATACCTTGCGTCAAGAAAACCTCTGGATCATAAGACACCGAGGTATCGCCGTTTTTTTCGAGACGATATTTTATACTCGTATAAAAATGATTTACTTACCTCAATTATATCCCATGCTAGACTCGTCTATAATTGGTTCTCTATTGTTTATAAGTTGTGCTATGCCGTCGGTGTAACAGGCTATGCCATTTTAATGCTTACATTTTTTGGGATCATACAATTATTTTATGATTCAACCGAAATTGCAGATCTGGGGATAATCCTCTTGTGTTATGGATTATATTTTGGGTATTCAATTCAATTCTGTTGCTTTTTCTAATCTTAATATGCTGGAATTTTTTATCACAATATTTAATTAAATTTCACAGCGTATTAAGTCGAGATTTTGTCGAAATATGTACAGATAGAATGGCCTCAACACTCGGGTACTATAATAGGGACGGGTTCCCCAGAAAACATCTTCGGGCGGTGATTTGTGCTGTGTGTGGTGGCTCAACCGAAAATAAACAAGAGAATGTTCATCAGTTAACTTGCCGTCATGTATTTCATGAAGAATGTATACGTGGGTGGTGTTTAATTGGAAAAAAGGATATTTGTCCATACTGGTAGGTTTTTTTGCTTCATGATCGTTGGTTTTGATGTCTTATGTGCGCAAAAAAAGATTAAACGTCATTCTCTATTGCCAATGATCCACCTAGTAAAGAGAAGGTTGACATGAAGGAATTTAAAACAAATCCGTAAGTTAAAGCAAAAAATAATTTTGTTACTACTTTTTCAATGGCACGAAGATTAATTTATTTCAAATTTAACATCGCAGATGGGACACACAGCAGCAGCTTGATATATCGGTTGTTGTTGCTCATTCGACGTAGCTGCATTTTGAGCATACGAATAATAAGCATTACTAGGATCATTGGAGTAGAGTGAGGAATTATACGGTTGACTAGGATCATAGGTCTGACCATAGTAGTAGCCATACGAAGAATCGTAAGTGGCTTGTCCGTACTGATGTTGATTTGGATCGTATTGCTGCTGATTTGTATCGTAATATTGTTGCTGTTGCGAATAATCATAATACTGAGAATAATCCTGACCATTATAGTAAGACGCATCGTAGCTGTAACCTACTGCACTGTTGTCATATATCTGGTCTTTGGTAACCGTTGGCAAAGTTGCAGTAGTATTATTAGCAGTGGTGGTTCCATTAAGTACATTAATAGCATCCTGTTGTTGCTCGGCATAGTAAGCATTACTATTGTTTACATTATTCTTATTATATTCAGTCGTCGTTGTCGTTGTTTCCCTTACATACTGAGCCATTGTAGAGGTTTTAATTTTCGTTTTACTATTATTATACATATGCTGCTTCTAATGCTTTAATAAAAAAAAGCACAAGTCCAAAAATCTAGTGAGGTCTATATGGACAAAGTAAGAAACATAAACCCATTTTAATTGTAAGTAAACTTTCTTTAAAAACTGGTGACCAAATTTGTATGATATCACCGAGGTGCATAACCAAATCTTTTGTGGCTGCAACACCTGTCAAAATCTATGTGGATAATAAATAAATCGCATATTTAATGATGAATCATCCGATTACTATGCTAATCGATAAATTTTTTTTTTCTCTTAGAATTCAGAACGAAAAGTTTACAACTCAAAACTGTAAGGGGCAACTCCATTGGATCTTCTTTTTTTTTGTACGGGAAATTAAAAATTTTATTGCTCGTTAGGATTGTTTGCTATCATTTGAGGAATGAATGCAAAAAAGAAAACTTATCGACTTGATTAGATTACGAGAAAAAAAAATTTATCGACTTGATTAGACTACGACAAAAAAATTTATCGAACTTGATTAGATTTATGAAAAATTTGATAAGACTGATTGGTAAAAAAACTTACCGACTTGATTATAATTATGATATGAATAAGATTTAAACGCGACACGGTTATTATAAGACGACAAGTAAGTACACAATATACATAATTATATTATAATTTTAATAATTTTTGCAATTGGTGGCCAATCTTTATTTTCAAATTAATGCCTGGATGATCTCTTAACTACCCTTTATTAATATATAGCAAATTTCCGATATTTTATTAAAATCTTGGAAGTCTTTGTTGTATATTGGCAAACAAATTTTGTTTAATGTTTCTGTTAAACGATCCATAATTAAATAAATGCAACCTATCTGAGAGTTAACGATAAAAATAATTAGTATTCTCCTACTAATGATTTATATTTTATTAGATGATACTTGATAAGCTTGTCTAACAATCTTGTTAAACGATCATTAAATAAATTAAGACAACCTTTCCAAGAAAACCTTCAACTTGATATTCTGGTCAGTCACAAATTTGATTTAGTTTTAGTTTTCTTCTTTCTCAATAGATTCATAGTATTAATATAATTATCTTTTCAATTATAGGATCTATTATGACGCAAACTATTCAGCTTTTTTTTTAAGTGTGATTGATTTAATATCTAATTCTGATCTTAACTGTGATAGAAATAGGGCAGTGCCACGAATTAGGTGATTTGATAAGACAAGAAGGGGATAAGAAAGAATCACCTAATTTGTGGCATTCTCCTTACAATAAGTAATTATGCATATCGATATACTTTTTATAAACTGACAAAAGTCATTAATCAAATAAAAATAGTTAAGCTGCACATACGTATGACGAAATGTTGATCATGTGATAATGCTATATCTGCAACGTTTTGACAATTGTTAACTCGTTAACGTTATAACCCTAAAACGCTCATGGAACAACAGTCAATTCGCTATACGTACGATTCAGAATCAGGGGAAGAAGAAGACACCGAGATGTCAGGCGGTTCACCTACCCCCATGTTACTCTTATCCCTAGAAAAAATGAAAAAAATTGCTGACAGCAATGCTCTCAATAAAAAATTGCTTTCTGGACGCGTTCTACTGGTTGGAATTGAAGAAGGTGGAAGTTTGTTTCTTTCTTCGATAAAGAACAAAAAAATAATTGGAACATTACTTCTACCAGGAAGTGATTCGGTAAAGTTTAGCGAGAATTGACAACCTTATCAAAATTCATTTATCTTTATATTAATATAATCTGCATCGCGATAAACAGATTCCACCAGATCCAAATAATTCAGAAATTATTAGCTTAATATACGAGTTAGAAGCAGCTCCTGACGTCCTTATCGTGTTTTGTAAACATCAAATACCGACCGAAAGATGTGCGGGGTGGACAAAGACATTATTTGAGCATGTGGATGTTCAAAGGTACGTTTTAGCACTTAGAAGACATAATACAATTGATTCGCTCTTTATGGACCAGAAGAGGTAAAGCTTTTATTTTTTTGAAGCTTTTTGTTTGGTATATAATAAATCTTTTTAATTCAACACGTCGTTTTTTTTCTACTAGATTACTGGGCAAATATTCATCATTCTTTTACTGACAAATATTAATCTCTCATTATTCGGGGAATAAAGCGTAGTCGTGTTTGACACTTTTGCAGCATCTTCATATATAAACCTCGATTCGGAAGACCATCCGTATCCACCATTAGTTCGAATATTACAAACGAGCAAGGCGGCCTCAGTAAGAAAGATTAATTATTTGTTCTTAATCACTAAATAATGAATATTATCTATTCGGATTAGATTCAAGATATACCATTATACGAGCCTCCTAATCTTACTCGTGATCTGGGTGCAGCCATATTGAGTCATGTAACTATAAACAATGGCAATTATCTTCATATAACGTGATATAACCAATGAAGATTTATTTTTTTTCTCTTGCATTTCAAGTGCGAAATTCATAAAATTCCCGCCTATCTTTTACTCAGTCTTCTGGACACCCAACACGGAAGATTCATGGCGACCTCAAGCACACTACAAGCTTTCCAAACAGCGTGGGAAAAACTTGTTGCATCTCATGGCGTGGAGCAAGGTATCGATTTCGTAGCTGATATTCAGTCGATATTCAAAACGAATGAACGAAAGAATAGAGATATCTTGAGTGAATCTCAATCACAGTTATATTTATGATGATGATTGGAAAGTATTTGTAATATTTGTAAATTTTACATACATGATGTGAATTAATCATAAGAAATTACTATTATTAATAAAAAAATTGTTTCTTATGTCTGTAATTAGTAAAATGTCTTTGTAAGATTAAAAACAATATATATATATATATAAATAATAATACTCGTTTATACAACTAAAAAGCTCATATGAAAAAAGTGGTGATGATAATAATATACATTAAGGAAAATAGAATAAAAACTTAATAATTCCTACGCTCACTTGACTTTAATAATGTGACATGATGACATAAAATCATCTTGCTGTCCCTTCAGTTGTCAAAAATGCGGCACCTAGAAAAGAAGATTTCGAATTAATTAAAACCTTCAATTAAGCAAACAAACATTATAACAATAACACATACCTCCGCCGTACCCGTAACCCTGGTTTGTATTTGATTCAAAATTTAATAGAGATATTAAATAATGAAGAATAAATCAGACGAATAAAAACATTTTCGTAGATAAAACTGACCTTTGGACCAAACTCTTTAGAATAACAAAGACGACAATAAATTTTGCCATCACGATCTGTCATATTAGTAGAGTCCAAAAGTTTACTGCATTGTACACATCGTAAACATAATTTGTGATATTTGACACCCGCACCCAACACCTGTTGAAAATCATTCGAGCATTAAAATACGTAAGAGGGAGAGAAAATGAAATGCTTGATGAGACATCAAAGTTTTTTGAAAATACCGCTTCAGCCGCGTACACTGCCTTAGAGCAACGTGGACATATATCATTGTTTACTGGAAGACTCCATCGTCGACTTCCACTTCTTTTCGCTTGTGATTGACTGAAAAAACCATAAGAGGGTGTGATCGAACGTGTAGGAGACATGGGTGGTGATTGACTAAGTTTTTCCGATGTGGGCGACTTTAGTTCATCTTTCTTATTGTCAACTGGTCTTTCCGTGTTTAAAAACGACGTGCCACCAGCAAACCCATATCCTATATAATTATTTATGTAGCGTCAATAGAAATAGAACACAATCTTTGCATCAATATTCATCTAATTGAACTATTTCGAATTTTATTATTAGATACCTTTAGGACCAAAACGACGTCCGTGACAGGTTTTACAATATGCCTAATGGAGAATAGTTAATTATCAAATATCCTATAAGAAATAGCTCTTCTTTTACCGAGATTATCACTTTACCTCTCCTTCATGCTCGGCTAAAGCATAGGAGTCTAATCGCTTTTTACAATCCTACAAAGAAGAATTAGGCTTAGACTGTCATACACCTCTATTTTACTCATAATTTAAAAGTTGAAAGCTTACAATGCACGTGAGACAAGCTCTATGCCAGGGACCATTTGGACCAATAACCTAATCAAAAAAAATAGTTAGGAATGAGCTTGCTTAGTAACAAGTACGAAGGAGAAAATGGCAGAATTACCTGTTCGGCCATGTAGACCGGTGTTTCGCAACGCGGACATTTCGGTGTACCTCCCCAACGGGTGCTCATTCTCAAAAGTATGTAAAGAGGTAATTAAAAAAAATTCAAAAGAGAGATACAATAAAATGGTTCAATGTGAAAGTTAAAAGAAGTGACTAAGCAAAGGAGTATGTTGTGTGCTATGACAAAAATTATGTCTATAAAACAAAAAATGGTGACACAAAACTGCGTCCGTACATATATAAATATAGAGATAGATAGATAGATAGATAGATATATATACGATTGATTCAACAGAACTTAATATTCTTGAAGCTTTTTGAATCTAAATCTGAATCTAAAGTGAAATTGACTTTATTCTTAGAAATAATTTGATGGCGACAGAGAGCGCAGTAGATCCGGTTGGGATAACTCAATCTGGAGTCGAAGTTCAACCTACTCAACCTCAGGGTCTTGAACCTGGACCAACTTTTTCGACCATTATGAGGTTGGCCTCTTTTTGGATTTGAAACTTTCTCCGTACCCGTAATTCAGATATATTATACTCAAAGTTTTCATTAACTCTAAAGTCTTTTAATTCTAGTCCAAAAGACAACTTTGCTCAAATGCATGCAGGACACGAATCACAACACAGTACCATGGCGTTGATTTTACTATTTGCACTTTTTGGCTTCCAATTTGTAATTTTGTTCTGGAAACAAAAACACTATCGATCTTTTCAAGTTATTACATTAGTTGGCCTATGGTCAGTATGAATTAATTGAATATAATCATTTATATTTATATTTATTGATGTTTTTATTTTCTCTATTTTAATAGGCTAATACCAATTTCTTTCTGCATTCGTGCTCAATTCTGGCGATTTGTTTCGATTTGGGTGTTATATTCACTTGCAAATTTTCGAGGTAAAGAATTATTTCTCATTCATTCATAACTTGCCTGGTTCATGAGAAATATAATATCTACTGACGCTTCCTTTTATGGCATATTTAGTAATATACCTTGCGTCAAGAAAACCTCTGGATCATAAGACACCGAGGTATCGCCGTTTTTTTCGAGACGATATTTTATACTCGTATAAAAATGATTTACTTACCTCAATTATATCCCATGCTAGACTCGTCTATAATTGGTTCTCTATTGTTTATAAGTTGTGCTATGCCGTCGGTGTAACAGGCTATGCCATTTTAATGCTTACATTTTTTGGGATCATACAATTATTTTATGATTCAACCGAAATTGCAGATCTGGGGATAATCCTCTTGTGTTATGGATTATATTTTGGGTATTCAATTCAATTCTGTTGCTTTTTCTAATCTTAATATGCTGGAATTTTTTATCACAATATTTAATTAAATTTCACAGCGTATTAAGTCGAGATTTTGTCGAAATATGTACAGATAGAATGGCCTCAACACTCGGGTACTATAATAGGGACGGGTTCCCCAGAAAACATCTTCGGGCGGTGATTTGTGCTGTGTGTGGTGGCTCAACCGAAAATAAACAAGAGAATGTTCATCAGTTAACTTGCCGTCATGTATTTCATGAAGAATGTATACGTGGGTGGTGTTTAATTGGAAAAAAGGATATTTGTCCATACTGGTAGGTTTTTTTGCTTCATGATCGTTGGTTTTGATGTCTTATGTGCGCAAAAAAAGATTAAACGTCATTCTCTATTGCCAATGATCCACCTAGTAAAGAGAAGGTTGACATGAAGGAATTTAAAACAAATCCGTAAGTTAAAGCAAAAAATAATTTTGTTACTACTTTTTCAATGGCACGAAGATTAATTTATTTCAAATTTAACATCGCAGATGGGACACACAGCAGCAACTCTATCTTAGCTTACTTGACGGTGTTCGTTATTTGGTCGTGTGGCAACCTGTAAGTAAAATTATGCATTATACTTGGAAATCTTTTCGCATATGCATAATGACAATTAATTTATTATATTTTTAGATCATTTTCGTTACTGTTCAAGTAGCATATCATATTTTTGGACTGGAATAATTTTTTTATGTATAAAAATATATTTGGTTAGAGTTTTGTACTAAAATATAAAGTTTTTAATGGTCAACTACTTTTATAATAGATACGATTTATATCGATTCTAATTCAAATAATTTTACTGTTTGTAGATTAATTCTAGTAATTCAGCAAATTTTGAACCAATTTGATAATTTTTTTAGTCTATTTTGACATGTTTTCTAAATAAAAATAATTATTGACTGATAGAAAAATAATCAGAAACAGTTGAATGATTACATTATAACTGGTTTTTGAAAAGAATAATAATAGCTATCCACTAAAGCCGATAGTTCACATGACATAGAATTCGATCATTTACAGTTTGATTTTATTGGTTAAACAAAAATTATTGTCATAATTATAATATAAGAAATATGTATAATAAGAAATATTAATTTCATAAAGATTTTATTAATATAAATTATTAATTTATAATATTATTATATTTTATTTTATTAATATTATTAAATTATAATATTATTATATTTTATTTTATTAATATTATTAAATTATTTTTAACTAATATAGTTTTATTAATTTTTCTAATATATTTTATTTAGTATAATTTATATAAATTAACTATTATAATTTAACTATTATTTAAAAATAATATTATCTTAGTTATTATCTAATAAATTATTTTTTCAAAATAAACTTTTTAATTCTGTTTATTTAATTAAGTTATTAGGTATTGAGATTTATTTAAATATAAAAATTTTTATTATATATCTTTTATAAAAAAAAT